CTTCCTTCCTTGCCATCAACTTTTCTTCTATGTCACTCACTCGTTCTTCTACCTCATTAACCTTTGTCGTTAGGACCTCCAGTTTGGATTGCATCTCATTTAATTGATTTTTAATTTCAGCCTGATTAAATCTAAGTTCTGCAGTCATGAAGTCTCTTGAATCCTTTATGCCTTTTTCCAGAGCCACCAGTAGCTTTATAATTGTGCTTATGAATTGGCTTTCTGGCATTGAATTGTAATCCAAATTTTGTAACTCTGTGGCAGAGAGGACTGTTTCTGATTCTTTCTCTTGTGGTGAGTTCTTCTCTCTAGTCATTTTGCTCAGTGCACAGTGGCTAATAATGAGTTGTTAGAAGTGCAGATTCTTCTCTCTGCAGCATTCCAGCTGTTCTCTCTTTAAATCTCAGGTCATATTTGTAGGTTTTCAGGATGATTTGAAAGTTATCTCAGTAAGTTGGTGGGGACAAGTGACTTGGGGACCCTATTCCCCCACCATCCTGTCCTGCCCCCCCACAAAAATTCCTTTAAAGATGAAAACACAGTCATGTTGATATATATATATATATGTGTGTATATATATATATATATATATATATATATAGAGAGAGAGAGAGAGAGAGAGAGAGAAGAGACGAAACTCTCAGTAAATTAGGATTAGTAGAAATTTCTTCAATATGCTAAATGACTTCAATAAAATGCTATAACTAATAATATATACAATAGAGAAGCCCTGACTAGTTTCCCCTAATTTCAGAATCAGAATTTGGTAAAGATCTCTGCTCTTATCACCAATATGTAATTTTTATGAAGGTCCTAGCCACTGCAATAAGGAGGAAAAACAGAAAAAACTCATAAGACTCAGAAAAAATGAAATTAACTGACATTCCTTGCAGACGACTTGGTGACACACGTATATAACCACACAGAAACACACACACACACACACACACACACACAGAAAAGAAATAAGCTACTAGAAAAAGTAACAAGTAACATCATAAGATAGCAATTCAGCATATTAAAATGAATTTTATTTTTATCTGTTAGTAATGATCAAAAGGAAAATGAACATGTTTAAATCACTCTCTAAAACACCATGGATGGTATATATTGATTTATGGACTAATTTATCCAGAAAAATTCCAGACCTCTACAGCAAAATCTACAAAACATTGATGACTCAAACCAAATCACCTTTAATAAATGTAGATACAGTATATTCATGTTAGAAAAAACCAATAACATTAAGGTATCAATTTATCTATATCTTCAATCCCAATTAAAGTGTTGGGAGGATTTTTGGTCAAAATTGACAAACAGATTCTACAGTGTATGTGACAAAGTAAAAACTGAAGGTAGCCAGTGCCATCTTGAGAAAGACCGGAGTTGGAAGCATCACGCCACCTGATTTCAAACTGCTACAGCTACCTTAATCAAATCACTGAGATACCGACCTGGAAATAAAGAAATGGATCCATGGCACAGAACAAAGGGTCTTAAAAATACATGCACACTTATACTCCTACCTCATTTTTGGAAATGCTAATGCTACTTAATAAAAGAAAAGAAACTCTTTCAACAAATTATAATGGGAAAAAACTACTACCTGTATGATTAAAGAAATAAACCATGATTCCTACCTTTTACCACACATAAAAACCAAAGACTTGATCATAAAACATAACATTGTAAGTCATCTGGAAGTAGATATGAAAGTGTGTCTTTTTAAACTTAAGGGATGCTAACATTTCTTAAACAGAAAACCCAAATAGGAGTTAACAGGAAAAGGAAAATTGTAAGGAAAATCGTAAAACCTGGATTTCATCCAAACCATTTTGCTCCGTGTACCATCTCTGTCCATTAATTAGTAGATCCTAGTAGCAGTAAGGTTTGTAACCTGAGTAGAAACACATTCAAGTGGGGCAAATTGATGAAGAATTGGATGTTCCAAATGTTCATTGCATCTCCAGGGTTGCTCCTTTACAAGCAAATCCTAGAGAGAACAGGTGCCTGGTTAACACCAGTATGTACACCCTCTCACAGAATCCTGGGGGCTGCCAGGAGAGGTTCGGGGTGATCCACTTGCACATAGCAGCTAATTTCACCCACAGCTGTTAATAAGCACAACCTTTCCTTTATGTATGGACACGTTTTCTTATGCACATCATTTCCTTTTGTTGTGTTCAAAGGACTGTGTCCTCTCTATGGGCCTCATAATGGGTCTGACCTGAGCTTCCGCATGCATCTCCTTTAGGAGGCAGGGATGTCTAGTGAGCTATGTCAGAATTCCAATCCTTTTTGTAACCAACAATTTATTTTTGTTTCACATCACATGATTTTGATCCCTCTACTCAAGTCCCCAAGACATTTCCTTATCTGAGTGCATCATACAAGTAGCTTGTTTTCCTACTTGCCTGGAGCCAATTTGCCTGACAAAACATGCAACTCTTGGCTACAGCCCCACAGACTAACATCTAAATGCCTCCCTAGAGACAGGAGCCTAACACTTTGTTCACTGCTAAGTTAAGAGCTTTCAACTCTACTCTTTTTCATCAGGGTTTCAACATCAACAGCTTATGCTGCAGACTGACATCCAAACAGCAACATATGCCTCAACTCAAGAATTCCCATTGGAAATCCAGCCATCCGTCTTCCTCCAAACCATTCAGTAATGAGGTCAGTGATGTCCTTGCAATTCTATTTTCTACCCGACAAGTAGCAACACAACTTTTTTGTATTGTGTAGGACTTTACCTGAACTTCTGCTACAACGCACCTAAAAATAGTCACTTTGTGAGTGAACATTCTCAAACTGCCCATCACACATTTGACAGCTTCTCAGGCATCAGCCAGAACCCAACAGGTTACCATACATTCCCAGATGCTCTCCATTAGAAGAGCTTCTTTCATCGAACACCACTGAGAAGCTAGTGACTATTTTTAAAATAGTCTGGGGGAAAATGCCTAAGTACTTTTCAAATACAAATACTCAGGGCTACTTTACAAATAATCCTATTTATTTCTACCAATTCCTATTTGATTTCTGCCAATCCAAATTCAGTGCAGCATATGTATGATGGAAGAAACTTCTACCATATCGTCACATCCTATGGACTCATCTGGACGACTTGGGGCTGACTCTGAGTAAATCTAACAGTTTAGGCCAGGGTCTGCAGAAGTCCAGATAAATCCCTTTGATTTTGTAGAAGAGGCTACCAGGACTTCTACATAAGCACTATGATTTTACCAAAACCAAGAATAGTCCCCATAGTCTCTGACCTTGCTTATTAGCATGATCTGAAAACCATGACAACATTTTGCAGAGCTTGAGCAATATCTCAGCTCCAGCTGAGGTAATTCTCAGGATTTTCAGAGATGAGACTCAGCCTGGTATATTATCTGACATTTCAACTACCCTCCAAGTGTTCTAAGGTTTCCCTTCTTTCAACTTTTTACTTTTTAACTGATCACAACAGGTTCTAATTTGCCCCTACTGGTTATTAACTCCAAATCTTGTCTAACTAAATTATGGCAATGGGACAATTTGTATATATATTTCCCTGTGGATATACAGTAAATGTATACTAGATCTAGTCTATGGAAATTCAAATTTTGTAAAGCTGACTCAAACTATTATGGAAAAGAACGTGTTAGCTAAGTCTATTAAGGTATACCAATTCCTCTAGGCCTATTGCACTTCCTGCGTAGCCTTGATCACATTGAGTCCATCTCAGAAAATCAGAACACATCTATTTAATCTTCGGTAGTCTTCTTCACCTCTCATCCCTTGGCAGACTGGAATCATTTAAAATAATAAAGTATATTTAGTAAGACTCAAATTCCAAGTTCAATCATTTCCGTATTACAGCACGAACATATTGTTCTTCATAAATTGTCCACTGCTTAGTGGACTGCTGGTAAGACCCAGGGCAGGTTGACAGATTCCCACTTAGCAAGTGTATGAAAACTGAGTAGATGTCCACAATGGAAAGGACAACAAACCATGAAAAATTCACACAATATCCATTCCAATTATGAATTCACGTGTCAAAGTGCTCCAGTCAAAATGCACCAGCAGCCCAGCTACATAGAGCTTAGCAGCTTGGGTTCATGATCACTGCAGTGGAGAGAGCATACACGTGGGGAATTGTAGAGAGATGTCTCAGCTAACAGGTGTTAGAACATACTTCCACAGGAATTAGGATTGTGTTAGGTGATTTGGGGGAGGTTGTAGGGAAGCAGAACCCTGCCCTGAATTGGATGGTATCAGGGAGCACAAGTACACTATGATTGGGAATCTTAACCTTTTTTTAGCAGGAAAAGAGATTGAAATGAGGCAAAAGCTATGATAGATAATGAAGGAACATCACTCATTAACTAGGAAAAGGGTTATGTGCTATTGTAGGTTTGTGCCAGGCCACTTCCCAGATGCCAGGGGAATGCTTTTCCTCCTTCTCACCTGCTAAGTCATTGCACATAAGAGACTAATCGTGGCTCAATTCATAGAAGAGTTTGGTGAAATCCAAATTGGACGTTGTTGCCCAGTGTATATTGATTAGTGCATTCAGGTGACAAAAGCCTCTAGGCTCTAGTAATGGGCCCAAGAAGTGTGTCTTATGTTTAAAATAAGACACTTTGGGTACACATGACAAAGTCCAATTCATAGTCACAAAGGACAGGATAAAATTCAAAGTATCTGTCCCTGGGATTGACTGAAACATTAGACAACCACTCTACCAACCTCTTTTTTGAATATTCTTTTAAATTTATATCCAATTTGCCAACATATAGTATAACACCCAGTGATCATCTCATCAAGTGCCCTCCTCAGTGCCCATCACCCAGTTACCCCAACCCCACACCCATCTCCCCTTCCACAACCCTTTGTTTGTTTCCCAGAGTTAGGAGTCTCACATGGTTTGTCTCCCTCTCTAAGTTTCCCAACCTCTCAAAAATATACAATTTTTGATGTTGCTCAATATTATTTTTATTTGAAAACCGATAAACTGATTAAGGATAAGATAAAGATGGTAGACTTGATAAGTAGCTAGATTAAATCAAATGGATGGACCTTGTGCCGAGCCCTGCAAGATCAAATGCAGATGCCTTGGGCTAATTCCATCTTAGTAATATTTCAACCCACTATTTTCCAAATCGAGCTGAAGAAGCCTGTAAGAGAATAAAACATATTGTCAAGAGGGTTTCAATAAGGAATGAATAATATAGCTACTTAATTGGGAATCTGTGAGGAGACTAACAAACGTCAAATGGCACTGACTTCCGAGGTGTCAAAGGAACATGACATGTTTGCCCAAAGAGAAATGGAATTTGCAGCCCTGGGTGGGAGCCTACGAAAGCTGGAGGTTTACATTGAACAGGAGTAGGCCAATGTGCGTTAGTTTTCCCTCCCCATAACACAGAGCAACTCAGTCCTTTTTCCCTCCACTGGCTGCAACTACACATCCTTGAACAGGTGCCATGCGATGGCCCAGACACTGAACGAGTAAAGGCAATATTTGAAAAGGTTCCTCCAGACGTTGATTGTATAAATACCAACCCAATCTCTCCCATGTGTTCAGGGGGAAATCTTTCTTTGTAAGTTCTCAATGTCTTCATCCTTACAGTGTTTACTTAGTAAATGAGATTTAAATTACATTGATATGCAAATTGTATACTCCACTGCCTGGTATATGTCCACAGTCAACAAACTTTGTGACCCATGTTACATGAGTGTTGAAGGACAGGAAAGACGAACCAGGAGTAATAACTCTGCACAGTCTTGATCCTCAATGTATGTCAAAATTCCCAGAAATATCCTAAATCATGCTCAAAAGCTTTTGCCTCAAAGGGCTTTGTTTTAAAGCTGTTGTTTATTTCTAGAAAGGTCTTTCAAGGTAACAGAATTTTTTTTGGTAAAAAAGAAAAAGACAGGGGATCCCTGGGTGGTGCAGCGGTTTAGCGCCTGCCTTTGGCCAAGGGCGCGATCCTGGAGACCCGGGATCGAATCCCACGTCGGGCTCCCAGTGCATGGAGCCTGCTTCTCCCTCTGCCTATGTCTCTGCCTCTCTCTCTCTCTCTCTCTCTCACTGTGTGCCTATCATAAATAAATAAAAATTAAAAAAAAGAAAAGAAAAAGACACACATAAACAGTTACCTGGCCCTAACTACAATTGCTTTGGTATTTTCAGTGGCATTGCTACTAAAGATGAATTTTCTCTATTTAATGACAACAATTCAAAATCATGTGGGTATGCTGCTGAACAAGAGGCTGCAAACCTCAGGCTCCCCTGACATTTATCTATTGAAGTGATTTTTAAGACCAAAAACAATTTAGAAAATAATGAAAACATAGCTTTCTCAGGGCTTTCCCTTCCTCTCCCCGCAAAATAGAGTCCACCATAACAATAGAGACCCCAGGAATCCAGGAGCTCCATAAAGAAACATATAGATGAGCTAGACTTACCAGCTCGAGTGGTGCTTTGAACAGCATTGGTCATGGTGGCGGGAGCTACAGGGGTGGCATGAGCTGCAGGGGTTGTATGAGCTGCAGGGGTGGCATGAGCTGCAGGGGTGGCATGAGCTGCAGGGTGGTATGAGCTGCAGGGGTGGTATGAGCTGCAGTGGTGGCATCAGGGGCAGCTGAAATTAGGAGGAAGAGATCCAGCTGAGACACTTGACTACCCCAGCAGCCAAATTTGTCCCAAGCAAGCGTGGAGGCACAGTCCTCCTTCTCAATTCGTCTCTGCAGATGTCAACAACTCGGTCATACCCTTAGCCTGCCTACCCATCCTCCTTTGGACTCATCCTTCCTAGCCCTGCCCATGGTGCGACAGAAAGAATTCCAGGCTTCTCCACAAGGTCTGTGACCCTAAGAGAGGAGACAAGCAGACACTTTCTCCCAGGGGCAAGCACCAAAGACCAAACCCACATGTGCTCCTATTTGCAAGAACCCCGGCTCAGGGCCAACAGGACAGTCCCTAGTGGGCTGTCTCTCTGGTGCCCTCCCATGCGCTAACTTGAGCCCTTCAGTTTCCTCCGCAGCGTGCATGAGTGTGGGTAGTGGAATAACCTGTACAGGAGAAGAGAAGAAACAACCAGTTCATGTGTCTCAGATTCGAGCAATAGGACCTCCTTTCTTTGAAAGAAGCACAATCTCTTCCTCCAGCTTCTGTCCTGAAACAGGATTATATTTGTCCTGCCTGTTCCTCGACTTGGACTCCATCTCTTACAGATGCATCTAGGAGAACCGCATTCGATGTAACAGGGGACATTAATACTCTTGTGGCAATGATACGAGTGAGCAAATGCCCCATCGATCATCCCATGTTCAAAGGATGTGTGGCAAGATTGGTAACAATTATCACTCTCTACGCCTTACACCGGAGCTCCTGACAGGCAGCCACAGGCAGACCCTACATCTGTGAGGTGCATCTGCCTCAACAAGCGGACAGCTCACTCTCCAGGCCCACCCTGGAGCCATGCCGTGTCGGTCCTCCTCCAGAAGACGGGGTGTTTTTTGAATTGTCCCCCATGGAGGTAGGACATATGGTTCAGTGTGTGAGGTCTGATGCAGTCACTGCCCTTATGACCAAAGGCCATAGGTCCCTAACTGTGGAGGACAAAAGGAGAAAGCACCCTCATGTCTGCTTGAGCACAACACATATGGCATTGGACATACAGGACACTGTGGGAGAAGCCCAAGAAATACTAAGGCTTTGGCCCACAACCTTGGGTTTAAGATCAAAGAAAAAAGTGCACATCAGCCTTGGCATAAGGCATATATACTGTTACAAAGAGCAAAGCTTAAGGCCATCCTTCTACTTCACCTCTACTCTCCACAATCCATATTCCACACTCCCATGTGCTCCTAATGCCCACATTTCTGCATCACCTTCAGCATCTACATTCTCTTCTGTCATCCTCAGACTTACTAATCTCTCTTTTTACACTGCCCATATATTAGACCCGTCAATTTTTGGTAATCAGAAAGGCTTTACATGCATCTCCTCAAATTCTAAGGCCACAAATTCAGACCATGTTCCCTTATCATTTTGCTACAGGACAATGAATAACTAGTCCACAATTTTTATAAATCCGCGCCAAAGACTTTATATATTCTAAAAATGTAAAAGAGATCAGCACATTTTCTGTGTTCTTATTGAACTTTGGAAACAGGAATGAGGCTTTCCAAGTCTTCTCGTTAGGAGTATCTACACTCTCCCCCATGGCTACTTCTTTAACATGAGGCTGGGATGGAACACAGTCATGACAGGAAGGTGCAAATGCAGACTTACCAGTAGAGCTAACAGATGGAGCATATGTTGAACTCACTGAGACAGAAAAAAAAAAAGAGATAAAAGTTAATTACCACCAGGATCAGCAACGCCTTCATGCTGGTGAATGGATCAGCAGGGAGCACAGAGAAGAAAGCATCAATCAGAGCTCAGGAGAAGGTAGGACTCTGACTCCAGCATTCCACATTCTGACCTTATAGAGGCAGAGGGCACCAATCAGGAGCTCCCAGATCAGAATCTGGGCTAGATGATGTCAGATAATGTGGTCCTCAGAGAAGCCACTGGAGAGTCAACAGCACAGCCAGAAGCCCTTTGGAAAAATCACAACCTCAGTCCCTTGAGTCAGACACGGCTTTTAGGTCAGGACTTTCATATATTAAACATTTTCCAGAAAATACCTTAATTTCCAGGCTTCCTCTCACCTTGTAGGTGCAATGGCGTTATGACTATGAGCTCTGCTGATGAGTTGAGGGGCCCAATACGCAGCCCTGTGGGATTACTCCAACCTGCAGTTCTCCTTTCATACACAAAAGAATTTGGTTGCCTAACATCTTGCTTAGCCCAGGGTTTCCTCAACGCAGAATCATCAGGGATGGCAGCGAGCTCTCAGAGCCATCCACCTAGTGCAAGCTGTACCTTCCTCCAGTGGTGGCCTCCCTCCTTTACCTGGCGATACTCTTATCTGACACTCATACATTGTGAGCCCACACCTATAGGATCTCTCCGGTTTTGAGCGCTTCTGGTGGAAAAAAACAAAGTAGAATATAAAGAAGATAGAAAATGAAACGTACATTTGTTAAATAATGCAGCCATTGAGTCAATGCACTCATGCAACAAGTATTTATTGACGGCTACTCGTTAGAGAAACAGCAGTGAACAAAGCACATACAAATTCAATGTGACATATGCAATTATGGGGATTCATCCATGAAAAAGTAAACAGAAATAAAGAAAGGAATGGACAGAAGGAAGGAAGAAGAGAAACAGCGTGCAGTTTGTAAAATGGTGAAGCCTAATAAATAATAATACGGGAAAGAGGAAAGTGGAGTATCATGGAGACATGAAGCGAGGTTATAACCTTAGATAAGGCGGCCAAAAGGGCATTACATAAAAGTCATACGAGAACAAAGCCTTGAAAATACTGAGGAACCATTCCTGCTACCCTGGGAATGACTTCCAAGGAAAGGAAGGAGTGGGTGCAAGCTCCTCATTCCTTCAGGTAAGTCTGCAGGTGCCGAGGAGGGACCAACACTGCACCAGGACACGTCAAACTACCTGCCCTTCCTTGCACACACCCCAGCTAAGTAAATGCAACAGTGAAGCAAAAATTCCACATTCACATCAGAAATAAGTGTGGGACGCATCCAGGTCTCCAACGAAAGATACTGAACAAGTCTTGGAAAACTCGGAAAGGATGAGAAAGCACTAGGTTCTAAATGTTCCTTTGCAGCCAAATGGCTCTAATACTTCAAAAGTTGTTTTTACCAGGGACCTGCTTCTGCCTGTAAAATAAATAAATAAATAAATAAATAAATAAATAAATAAATAAATAGTTGTTTTTATTCATACAAAGTATACTTGCTTGTAGCCTCCCCTCAGTGGGAGAATGTTGTCCTATTGAACAGCGCTGAACATCTATTTCATCTTTTTTTTTTTTTAAAGATTTTATTTATTTATTCCTGGGAGACACAGAAAGAAAGGCAGAGACACAGGCAGAGGGAAAAGCAGGCTCCATGTGGGGAGCCCGATGTGGGACTCGATCCCGGGTCTCCTGGGCTAAAGGCAGGCGCTAAACCACTGGGCCACCCGGGCTGCCCCTATTCCATCTTTTGTATTGAAATATACTTGATATTTAACCCCGTGTCAATTTAAGGTGCGCTACCTGTTAATTTGATACATTCATATATTGCGTGTTTGCCATTGGAGCATTCATTACCATCTCTAGCATGTTATATAATGGTCACTTCCTTTTAGAAGTTAGAGTAGTTAAGTTCTCTCCTCGCAATTCTGATGATTATAACAAAATACTATTGTCTATGTTGTGTCCACCACCCTAGTGTGCATTAGATCCCTGAGGCTCACAAATCATCAAGGAAATGCAAGTCAACACCACAATGAGATATCGCCTCGCACCTACTAGAATGGCTGCCATCCACAAGACAACAGATAACAAGTGTTGACAAGCTTGTGGAGAAAAGAACCTCAGTACACACATGGGTGCATCCACTAACAAAAACAATAAGAAGGTCCCACAAAATACAAAATTGGTCTACCATATGTTCCAGCAATCCCCCTTCACAGATTATGTAATCTGCATAATCACAGATTATGCCCAAAGGAAGTGAAAACACGATCTAGAAGAGAGAGCTGCCTTCCCATGTGGACTGTAGCGTTTTTCAAAGTAGCTAAGATCATGAAAACAACTACATGCCCACCAATGGGTAGATGTCGTATGGGTATATAATTTAGCCATGAGGAAGGACAGCTGCCATTTGCTGCAAGGTAAGACCTTGGGCACTGTTGTGCTAAGTGAGATAAGACACAGAAACACTCAAGTGTTGCAAAGTATCACTTATATGTGGAATTTAAAAAACCCCAAATTCATAAAAATAGACATTAAAACTTGCTACCTGGGATGCGATGTGGAGGGACAGGACAGATGTTGTTTAAAGATACAATTTACAATGAGGAGAAAAAAACACCCGAGGGATCTCTAGCTCTTTTGGGTGAGACTCTGAGAGACAAGACCCACTCTGCTCACCAAGACATGCCGGGGATCCTCATCAGGTATATGGAGAAAGGTGGTGAGAATCTCTTAGAAGGGGCTTTGCCTTCTGAGGCAGGGGGATGTCCTGGTCCCAGGTAACCTCACCTCTATCATGAGGCCATAGTTGTCAAACTATGGTAGAGAGGCAGACTTTAAAAAAAAAAAAACAGTCAAAACAAAACATATTCTGAAGGAAAAGAAACAGAAAGGCTAAAAGTAGGTGGAAAAGGTAATAACCATAGACTCAAGGAGCTCTAGGATCACCCCCGGTGTGGAATACGCCCCAGCAGCCCACCACCCGCTCACGGCCTCTCAGAAGCAGACACACCCTGAAGGCCCCCCCAGCACGTGGCTCTGTATTGAGCGCCCTCTGTATGCCTCCCACCACGCTGCCAGGGTAGAGGCCAGGAGGCTCACCGGGTGCAGTGAAGGGGATGATTGGTTGGCTGATGACGGAAGATGGCAAATGTGCATCACCTAGGGTCCACTCTGGACTTAGAAACACACAGTGGGTTACCAGGGGAAGTTAGTACAAGGGAACCTGAGTTCTGGTGCATGAGTGACTCTGTGGAACCCCGACGTGGGCCCCCAGGCCTGAGGGAGGGCATCTCTCCCTCTTTCTCTGCCCCTCTCCATTTGCTCACATTCTAAACAATAATCAATCAATCAATCAATCAAAATCTTTAAAACCGATGTAGCCAATTTAGGTGTGCCTCAGGATTCTAATTGTGAAAATAAGACTGTATATATATATATATATATCTCCTAAGAAAGTCAAACCCATAACACATCTCCAGAACTTTTAACTACTGCCCTTTCCCAAAACTTAATATTTTCTTTTTTTTTGAAAGAACAATATCTTTTATTTATTTTTTTATTTATTTATTTTTTAATAAATTTATTTTTTATTGGTGTTCAATTTGTCGACATACAGAAAAACACCCTGTGCTCATCCCGTCAAGTGCCCACCTCAGTGCCCACCAGCCAGTTAATATTTTCATTATAAAAATTAAAATAGAAGTATGTGTAAGACATAAAAGTCACCAGGCCTTCCAACACCATGCGATAACTGGCATGATTGCTTTGGTTCTGATACGTTTCATAGACCTTTATATGCATTCATGAACACGTGTCTTCCCATGCCCAGGATCCCATAGTATCACTCTTCCCACCGCCAATGAGCACTATGTGCTCATTCTCATAGACAAAAGTGCGTCTACACGAACATATCTCTATATGTACTTGGGTCTTACAAAACGGTATACAAAATGGCATTATATTCCAGACCATTCTTTTTTTAAAGATTTTATTTATTTATTTATTTATTTATTTATTTATTTATTTATTTATGAAAGAGAGAGAGAGCGCAGGAGTGGCAGGGAGTGGCAAAGGACCAGGAGAAGCAGGCTCCCCCTGAGCAGAAAGCCCAGTGTGGGGCCAGATTCCATGGTCCTGGGATCAAGACCTGAGCTGAAGGCAGGCTCTTAACCACAGGAGCCTCCCAGGAACCCCCCAGACCATTCTGTTTTGTACACTCAATTCTACTTAGTAGAAATCCAAGTCCGCCACGGTCCATGCCCAGCATTCTTTCACTGGATTTCCTATGTCATCACTTACTCTACCTCTTAATGGGAATCTGGGTCATTTCTGGTGTTTTGCTGCTACCAATCAGGAAGCCATTAATGTGCTTTTACTGTACCCTTAGGTACCAAAGTTTCTATGCCATAGGAACCCGTGCTATAGGTTCCAGAGGGGTTTTAATAAAATCGTATGCATGTTTTAAATTGAATAGATATTTTCAAATTCTTTCCCCCAGACCATCCTAAAACTTATTACCAACAGATACAAAACAGAAGAGTACTTTTCCAACCACCTCTGCCAGAAGTAACTGTATCTGGATTTAATTTTGCCTGTCTTACAGGTCAGAAGCAGTATTTGTCATGCTTATTTGCATTTCCTGATTACAACACACTTGAGCATACTGGTCTAGTTGTTGAGGACTCGAATTTTCATTTCCAGCATTTGCTTAGTCAAATCTGTTCACCTACTGTGTCTTTTGTTCTTTTCATTTAAGGAGTTACACCACATGAGAAATATTAAGATTTTCATCTTTCCTAAAATCACAAAGGTCTCGAATATAACACACATGTTAATTTTATTCACAATATACTTTTAGATATTTTAAGTTCAAGGAGTGCTGTCATACTTATTATAACTATAATGTTATATACTAAACAATTACAGAAACATGTAATGGGGTCATGTTAGATTTGTGACATCTTAATAATCCTGCATGCAGAATAAATAATCAAAATGAATT